AGCCAAGATTAAATCCTGTAAAATGGCTATGACCAGACGGCGAAGAATGTCGTCTTGCAAAATAAAACAAATCAATATTAAGATAGCGAGAAGAAACAAAAATTTCGGTAAACCGTCAGCTCGACGTTCGGCATCCACCATGTGCATCGAACGGATGTACCACGTCGTTGTACCACACCTGGTGTGCGGAACGGCTGCGAACTCCTCCAAACGATTTCGATTCTTGTGGGTGGCTTGGCTGATGGCGATCTGATGGCGGCCGGAACGGTCAGATTATGACAGCAACAGGACGTGCGACGTACAAATATCGTGCTCCGAGCGTGTTGCGTGAGTCGACGGGTCCCTGGGAATGTTCGAGATCCCTTAAGCGCAGGCCGGGTCGTCGGATGCTGACATCGACGGCGCTTCCGTCGCTGGAGCGCGTGCGCCGGTCCCTCACTTGTTGTGCGCGGTCAATCAATACGCTCAAACCCCAGGTCCTGGGAACGTCCGGGCCGATCGTTCACGTTGTCCTCCTGCAAATCAACCCCTCCCACTAATCCTCTTCCTCCTCCTCATTCTGCTCCTGCTCCTTGATCTCCCGGCCCAGGGCCAGGTCATCGTCGTTGACGTGAAAACGCCATATCGGCTGCGCCGAAAACCCACGGTACGATGGGGTATGGTACGGTGGTGACGGAAAAGGATGCAGAATTGAAAACATGATGGTCGTATTGTTCACCTCCTTGAATCTTGTAGACTATCGGTTTGATTTGTTTTGTGGAGCAAAGAAGTAGTGGTGTGGACGGTGAACTATTTAAATAATTTCAAAATTAATAATGCAGCATTGATTGAAACATAAAACGAATTGACTAGACTCTAACACGTACTCACGATATCATAATGGTTACGTTGTAAACAAGAATTTCATAATCATCCCTAATCGAACTTTTGGATGAGTACAGAGATCGATATGGAGTATAAAATTACGAGATTTTTATTGTTCAAAATATTTGTTGATCTTTTAAATCATAAATATACATTTTAGCAACTTTTTGATTTATTTTTTTGGTGACTATCGATTCATTTTATTGGGAAAACATACATACAGGTATATAAATTATAACTTCTGAGATGAAATTTTCAATAGTGATGTTTCTAAGGAACAATCATCCGAATAGGTTTTATAACACTGATCTATTCATTTTTTCAATTTTTTATTTCTATTTAAAATAAAACAACATTTAAAATGTTGCAAATTAAATTAGTAAAATTAATGACGTTTAAAATACCAAATTAATGAATTTGTTTGAGTGAGATTCAAAATTGAAATAATGAATTTAATTGCATAAAAGAATATAGAAAAGCATACGTGCTTTAACAAAAAACAATCATCATTAATTAACATTGGACTGCCAAAAAACAGTTCACGTATTAGGCATATAAAAACTGTATATGGATTCGAAGAGTTAAAACCATGAAATATAAAGACAAATATGAAAAACATTATACGAATTTCCTTGAGTTGACATAAAAATAATGAATAAATAACCAGTTTGATTTAGCACAAGCTTACGTTCTTCGATTTAATTTATTAGATGTAAAATTAATAATCAACGTATTCCTTACCGTGGATTGTGCAAAAGTAGGTTTGAATCGAATAATCAAATATGGTTACGCTGGTACACTACCGGATTATTCGATGGCAATTTTTCATTCGTTTCGTTCGAGTCAACTGCAAAATGAAAAAAAAAAAAAAAAATTAGAAACCCGATTTCGATTTCTCCTTTATGTTAAGGTAATCAACAATAATAGCTGCGTCGGACAATTACTGTAGTGGATGGGGCATCATGAACGAATGGGATTAGTGTAGACCGACTGTGTCACACCTGCTCGAATTCGGTCACCGACAGTTTGGCTCTATGGACCGTACGACCACCCGCAGAGAAATAACCACCAAGGCCCCCATACCCAACGTGTACGCACAAACAAAGCATCACAAAGATATCGTACTAGAAAGAATCTAACACCCAATGGATTGGGTTTTTCGAGGATAAATGAAAAAATGTAAAAACCATAAATAACGAAATATTTAAGTACGCGAAGGATGGGAACGATTTGAAGACCTGATACCGTTAAAAACGATACGATCTACTAGTCAGGTCTACAGGTATCGAATAAATGTTGACATAAATCAACGAAATATTATAATCAAAATATATTGTGAACAAAGGAAAAACATTTCGGGATTTCGGGAATTTATTACTTAATGCCTACTGCACTAAACAAATATGTAATACAACAAATTGAAAATCCATTTCGTGTCGAACCAAGAACCGAATAAATAAATCCAAGTATGTATACAACATAAAAGTATACCTTTCGCTGCTGGATGAGTTTCTTTCATTCCGGTTTTTGGGCATTCATAACCGCACAGAAAATGCATTTTTTTTTTATCGCATAAAACATAGTTAAAACGGTGATGTTTACGAAGTGTCCGCGACTACACGTCGATCGCCGTGAACGTACAACTCACTTGTTTTATGGGTCTTTTTCTTTGTCCGTGTTACAATTGGTTTTTTTTCTTTACGTGAGTAAAGTACTCATTAACTGTGTTATAATTTTTTAACATTATTTTTATTTAATTTTTGTATTTACTCATTACTATTGCATTTCTTTTACTGTAATAATTATTTATTTATTATTATAAATTTATTTTTATTTTAACTTACATTAAATAGTTTTGGTAATTTTTTTTATAAATATTAACCCTTTCAGACCGGTGAGTCACTAAAATGACCCACTAGTTAGATTACGTATAACTAATTAAATAATAATGCTAATTTAATTCTGTCTTGATAACATTGTAGAAAATATTATCTTGAATATAGTAAAAATATAAAATATATGATTTTTAGTAATTTTCACACATATAATAATATTTTTTGTAAATTAACAAATAATCAACAAGTGCTCTGTGACAAATTCTGATAAAAATAAATACCAATATCAATAAACGTAAATTAAATATAAAGTAAAAAGATTCTATAGAAATATAAGTTTAGATTCGTGAATGTATTAATGTATTAAATGTATTACTTTTATATTTCTTCAAGCAGCATTTTTCCCCAAAACAATATTTTATACATGTTTAAGAAGTTTTTAGATTTTAAATAAAACAAAGAATACATCGACTTTACAAAACAATTTTTTATCTGTTAGTTTTTTTTTGTTTATCTCGACTTAAGTTTGATGCATAGTATCCAAAGTTCAAATTTTAAACAAATGTAATAGATATAATAGGCTCTTGGACCAAACAATTTTTCGGGGTTGTCCTATATAACAGAAAAATGTATTATTTTTTTTACATTTTTACCCTATGATCAACAAAATATTTTAAAATTTTTATGTCAAAATACTAAATATGTCTTTAAGATAACTATTACTATAGGATCAAGCTTGCAAAAATAACACATTCTTATTATATTTATTTTTTGTGTAAGTAGCCTAACATTGTATTACATCAATTACTTAACCACATATAATTCATATAACGATTGCTACACATCGAGCGCTGCATTCGCACTATATTTTTTAACTCGTTATTATACACATGTGAGCTCATACATAGTATTATAATTATTTGGTAGTAAAAAATGTATTATATTTTTTATTACCGAATTATTGTCATTTGACAAAGTTGAGAGTATTGATTAAATGTAGTTCTCCCATACACTGTACCAACTGCGCAATATTTTACTATCGTCACAATCAATGACGTTCACGTAATTCTATTTTTTTAAAATTTAACAAGACTAATAGAGTTATTTCAAGGTTAGAAGACACGGAAGAACATTTTTTAGGTGACTCCAACGATACTAATGCTGGCTCTAGTTTTGAAGATCCCACCGAATCACGTGAAATTGATCCTGATAGCGACATTTCATAACTTACACCTAGGTCGGTGCAATACGATTGCGCAAATAATTTGTAACATGATTGCGCCCCGATCCCTTATTACCTGATAAAATCACAACACCATTGCACACCAAATTATATGTGTATATACTATGTATAATAATTTATGTACAACATAAAATAATGTATACAATACATACTTTTTCAAAATCGAAATGAAAAGTTGATTGGCCTAATAATAGTTATAATAATAATATCGACTAATGACTATAAGTTAAGAAAAAAAACAATTGAACAAAAAAAATTTCGGCTACTGACCATTTCAATATATACATTTAGCATAAATGTAATTTAGAAAAAATCAATTTTAAACCAAGCCAATGATGTATTTTATATTTATTTTATGTTATACATAAACTATTATACATAGTATATACACATATTATTATTTGGTACGCAATGGTGTTGTAGTTTTATCAGGTAAAAAGGAATCGGGGCGTAATGGTGTTGCAGCCCACCTAGGTACACATAAATCAAATACTCTGCAAACCTCTAATTCAATAATAAATAAAATAATATGATATATAATTAAAGATCTTAACTAATATAAACAAAATATTATGGGACAAATATGGAATGCGATTAAATAAAAAAAAAAGACAATGGTTATGGTGTGCAGTAAGACAAACCCTCTACAGCTTAATATAAATATAGACAACGCACGCATAGAACAATTACATCACTTTCATTATTTAGGAAGTAAAATAACGGAAGATGGCCGAAGTAAAGATAAAATTCTAAATAGAATAGCACAAGCGAAGAGGGCTACCCACAAATAATAAACACATTTTAACCACTAACTGTGTGGCCTTAGAGAAAAGAAAAAAGTTCTTAAAAATATGCATATGGAGTATTGCCTTGTATGGATGATAAACATGTATCAATCGGTACAATAGAAAAAAAAAACTAGAAGCCTTCGAAATATGATATTATAGTAAAATTTTAAGGGTTAGCGGTATTGATAGAATAACGAATGAAGCAGTATTTAATAGAGTAAAGGAATAAAGAGTACTATGGTATATCATAAAACTTAAAAGATCTAAAATGATAGGACATTTACTACGTCATGATAGTCTATCGAAAAGTTAAATTTCCATTTCATTTTGCTATATCTGTAGAATTGAAAGTGATTGGGAAAAATTTGTAACTACTATTTAAATGAATACAAACCAGTAGTCAGGAAGGCCTGCTCTCCAGTTTTTTCATCAGATTCGAACGATTCTATTGATGATTACATGGATTGTTTGTGAAACTAATCATTGTCGGATCGGTTTTGTTTATCAATGTCGTCTCAATCGGACACGTTGTTGTAACAGGGGTTGTGGCTTATTTAGAACTACTGTAACAATCCGGTACTATTCGATTGTTTTTAAGTTCTTACAATCGTCATTGCAGTCGACTGTATTCAAATCGCTCACTTCGATATAAGAACTATCATTGTTTGATTCTTGACTGGAAAATATTCCAAAATATTCATTAAACTGTGTAAAATTACAGATAAATATTATAATATTTATAAAATTATTATTATTTTATGTATTATTTATATTTATATTGTGTAGTATTACAGATATATATATATATATATATATATATATATATATATATATGATATATACAGAAATACAGAAATATATATGATTAAAATCAGAATCCTACGAATTTTAATTATTTTTTTTTTTTTTTACAAAAGCACATCAAAATACACAAGGAACTATGTGTGCTGTCTTATCGAATAATATTTTTTAATTATTAATGAGTCGTGTTTGTAGAAAATCTCTAAAATATTATTTAAAAAATGTACAGTCTTAAAGTAGATGCATTGTTGAAAAAATTTTATTTCAATTTTACCCTTATTTGTATAAAAATATATTATTTGTTAATTTATTATATAATTATTATATATATTATACATATTATATATATATTAAAATATATTATTTGTACAACATACAAGAAAAAAATATACGTAAATAATATTGCGTAAAATATAAAATATAAAAAAGTGACGTATATTAATTAGAATTTGCTTTATAATTTTATTCCACATCGATATGCCAAAAAAAAATTAACTTTTAGTTTTGTTAGGAGTTTAATAAAAATATATTCAATATACATGCACGTTACACATTTTTTATTTCTTATATTTAAGATATAAATAAGTAATAATAACTTTAATTTTACAATTTTACTCAACACGTAACCTTTAACCTTTTCACTACCAAATTATGTTTTAACTAATATATATATATTATCAATTTATGCGAATGCGATAAGAGCTATTATTTAATACGAAATATTCATTAGATTACGTACAGTATATCGCACTCCCGCTTAAAAAGTGACACAATTGAAAAAATGTGATTCTTCAATAAAGTTAATTGAAAAAGTACAACATTTTGTAAATCATTTTGTAACTTTATAAGTTGGTCAATTTATTTGGGTTTTTCACTATACTCACTATCTTATCTCCTATTTTCTATAATTTTTAGATTTTTTAAATTTTTTACTAATCCGCCATTTTTATTTAATAAGTGTCACTTTTAATTTGTCATTTTTTTAATACAATTTTGAATTGTGACGTTTTTTTTGTAATTTCTTACATGAAAATTATTCTTAAAACTAATTATTTTAAGGGAAGATAATAATTATTTAAAAACTTTAACTGAATCTTTATTGTTTTCATCATATATAATAAAATTTCATACAGATTACATAATATAATAAAATTATAAAAAAACTTAAAAACCTTAAACTTAATAAAATATAATAAAAACAAAACTGAAAAATCATTGAACTTTATGAATTAAACTTACAGGTAATAATATAATATTATGACATAGTTATGTATAAGGAACCTTGTTTTCAAAGAATCTAATCTTAGTCTACTTTAAAGTATTATAAAAATTTGCATAAAACTGCGGAATGTGATTATTTTCTACTAATGTCAGCAAATCAATCTTTTTGTTTTGTTTAATTTTTAATGGCTCCCTGTATGCATGCTTTAAATCTGCTAGGGGTTGTATTGTCGAGTTCCCTTTACTTTTCCTGTTTAATTTAACTGTCTGGAATTCTTCCGAATACGAATTCTTAAAATAAAACGTATGAATTGAATCCTTTTCAATCTTCCACACTTTTATGGGACTAATCTTCACCTGGCTGAAATTGAGTTTGAGGTCATCTACCAGTGCCTTAATTGCCGAAAAATCTAAATGTGTCAACTCGTTAACATTATACGGTTTTCCCCTTTTCTTTGCCATTCGTATTAGTTGTGCATACTGAGATGGTACATAAATGGGACCGAACTTTAATGAACTCTTTAATTGTTTTTCGATAGTGGAATGAACACAGTCCCCTTCAGTCTGTGTGTGCCCAGTTATTAAATATTTATGCATAATCGAGTTTATAATTGGAAACTTTAGAATGGCATACACATAAAGAGCAATCATATATTTGTTTTTTTGCTGCCCACAGCAATTATCTGAATAAAAAACAAAATCCAACAAATCAGTGCAACCATTATCTTCTCTGTCTTTGATTATATTTTGTATATACATTAGAACACAACTAGCAATTTCTTCAACTCCACGATTTCCTTCCCCTTCGTGCCAAAAATAACATTCAGTTTGACCAGTATTTAACTCGGAGATAGTAAAATTGAAACTATTTAACTTGGATTTATAATAGAACACAGAAACTTCACCACGTGGAGCCGGTAAAATCGCCTGTAAGTCATAAACAGATACTATAAAATTTTTATTCGATTTCTTTTTGTCTTCGTCTTTTTCTTTTCTCGATAACTCTTTTTCACGTTGATGTATTTCGTACTTTTCTCTAAATTTCTCTTTATTTTCACCCTCAGCGTTCTGGAACGAAGTGCATAATTCACATTGGTCCTTTTTGGGAGTAAAAAAACTTATATTATATTCGTCGTTGAATATTTTACTATACATTACAAGATTAACATGTGGACGACCAGCAATAATACAATCATCTCGGTAGTCTCTCCACAAAATCGATAGTGAATATCCTCCGGTGATATATTCTCGTGTTGTTTGTGCTCGAAGATAATAAGATTCGATTCTTGGTATGGAATCAATGTGTTTGCGGACGTCTGTTTTTAATTCGTCTGAAATTTTTCTATGTTTCGTGTGTTTTCCACGTAATTCTGTTTGAAGTGAAGTAGGAATTCCTTTCTTACTGATGACAGTTCGAATTGTATGATCGTTTATATCAAGAGTAGCTTTAAAAAAATGTTTACAAACACGAAAACGAGTTTCGTTTAGCTCAAAATAATATGCATTGTTTAGCTTACGATGATTTTCAGTTGATGAATATCTATATTTTGGCTTAATGGGTAGCATACAGGTTGCTATGTAACTGCGCTGTTTACTCAAATCACCTGATGACCAAAATTTTTCAAATATATTCTGCCTTTGAGTCTCATGAATTTTTGAAGTACATTTTTGTTTACACTGATAACCGCAAGGAGGACGTAATTTTCTCACATCGTATTTTTTTTTACTTTTAGAAGCTGAAGTATAACTTAATCCAGAATTTCTGTTAATTTTTGCTTTTTTAATTGACCATTGATTTGAATTCACCTTTCTTTTTTTTTTCTTTTCTCATAATTTCAAGTTCTGTGTTGGAATTTATTTCTGTAATTTCATCGTTAATATAATTTATTTCTGCATTTTCATAATTTTGTTCATTTATAACTTGATGGTTATCAATAGAAGTGGACGAAGATGATGAATTGCTGGATGAAGAACTGCTACTCGAAAAACTGATAGTTGAAGAATTACTGGTTGAGGGTTTATTGATCTTTTTCGGTGATAGAATTTTGCAATTAAACTCCGGGTCTGCGTCTGAATCATAAAAATTACTGCAGTCACTGTTTACTGGTGAAATTGCGTAGTTTATTGATACATTTTTTTCAATACTACACTTACCATCTTGTTCACGTAAGACTAATAACTTACCATAAGGTTCTAAATAAAATATAAATTATTACCTAATTAATATTGAGTTCACTTAAGACTTAATAAAAAAACGTTTATTACTATTTATCATTGTCGATATCTCATTGTCTTGCGTTGATTTTTCAGTAATTTGTGTTTTAATAAGATTCATTATGCTTTTTGCCCGACTGGCCATTATAAGAATATTATTTTAATATTTTAAACTCGTAAATACTGAAACATAATTCGTGTCACAACTTAAAATTGCTTAATTGAATTTATTAAAAACTGTTACAACTCGAAATACAATTTTATAAATCAAATAACATTTATAGTTAATTACCTTAATAATTAACGACACAAGTCGAAATAATACTTTAAAATAATAAAATATTTTAAATTACCTTAATTAATAATGTAACAACTCGAAATAGTCCTCTAATGGAAATCATTTTCATTAACATTACTGACACAAGACGAAATAGTACTGTATTAATCGTAATTTATTATTTAATACAACGACACAACTCGAAATAATACACTTTTAACAAATAATAATACACGTTATCTTGAAGTTGTAAAATGCAAGTGAGATATGACACTTTCGAAAATATAGTATCAGTAAAATATTACATTATCAAAAGTGACATTTGTGCCATCTGTTGGTGAAAAATAGGAATAAACTTGTAACGTTTTTGTACGATACAATTATGATATTTACTAAGACTACGCTGTGATTAGATGGAAAATCACATTTTTTCAGTTGTGTTACTTTTTAAGCGGGAATGCGATATCAATATAGCTGTTACTCGATTTCAGTTGTCATATACGCCACACAAAAGCTTGAAGTATAGCAACACAAAAAAAAGGTATCTGTCGGTCTTTGGACACTCTAACCGTCAAACAAGCACGTAAAGAAAAATCTTTATAATTGGCCCGGATGACTACCTCATTAAGTGACAAAGAATACAATCTAGCACTGATTAATAGGATATTCGAAAACAGGTTTTTTAAAAGGCTTACTTTCCTTTGGTATCTCTAAAGTTATTTGACACTCGAAACAATTGACAAAAAATAAGATCTAGCACTGAATTGAGGTTTGAAGTACAATATAGTTTTAATACCCTTTTTGAAAATGTACCAACTTTCTCATATACTCACACAATTACGTAAAGTAGAAAAATTATTAAATACGAACACATTTTATAATTATATCGTCGGTTAAAAGACTATTTGCTGTAAGCGACACTTTTGTAGTAAGTGACACTTGCTATCTAGCGTTGTAGACAACGCTCTATCGGTTCTATAGATAGTTTTCATGCAATGATATTATTATTTTATAACGCGTTATCAATAATCAAACTTATTATACATAAAAAAAACCGACAGGTATGAAAAAAGTGCCGTGTAAGCAACAACATTTG